AGAAAAGAAACGGTTACACCACCTCAGCCTCCTCCTCCGCCACCTCCACCAGCACTGCCACGAGCACCTTTTGCAAATTCTTCTACACAGTCGTTTACTGCGTATGAAATTTCTTCCCCGCCAAAGAAAGTTCGATCTTCACCACCACCACCACCGCCACCACCCCCCTCATTGGTAAAATCATCATTTTCTCCTCCACGTGCACCGCCGCCACCACCCCCACCTCCTCCACTACCTAATAACCATTTAGTTTCATCATCTCATCTGCAGTTTGCTGACAAAAAGGTCAGTTCAGCATCAAAATATGCGGTTCCATCACCTTTGAGCCCCAACTTTTCGCAAACAGTTCCAAGGCTGCAAGCACCAACCATTCCACCACCACCTCCTCCTCCACCTCGAAGTAGCTCGTTGGTTTCTTCATGTCCATCCACAAGTGGTAGACATTTCATGGCTGCCCCTCATCCTCCCCCACCTCCCCCACGATTGCATACCATGGCATCTCGTGTATCGGCGCCACCTGCACCCCTGTTACTCGTTGCTGCCCCTCATCCTCCCCCACCTCCCCCGCCATTGCATACCATGTCATCTCGTGGGTCAGCACCACCTGTACCCCCATTGCCTCCTCCGAAGCTAGCTGGGGCCAGCAATGCTTCACAAAAACAATCAGTAACCCGACCACCGCCACCTCCACCAGGCCCACCTCCTAAGAATTCTTCAAACTCTTTGCCAAGCAAAGGAACCGTTGTCAGTGCTGCCCCACCGCCGCCTCCTACATTATCATTTGGTGCAAAGGGCCGCAGCGCAGTCCGGTCAAAAAGCCCTAGAGGTTTGCGTGCCAACCAGCCATCCAAGAGGACACCTCTGAAGCCATTACACTGGGTAAAAGTGTCAAGAGCAACACAGGGAAGCTTATGGGCAGATACACAGAAGTCTGATGAAGCATCTAGGTATCAAAATATTTTGTTGCGACATTCTTTGTTAATTAAAATAGCAATGGGCCGGGCACTTTGATATGTTAGTCCACACGTATGTTTAACAGGACTCCAGAGATTGATCTGTCTGAGCTTGAAAGTCTTTTCTCAGTATCCATGCCAAGTATGGATGCAAAACGGACACGCCAACGTCCTCCTGTTGCATCAAAACAAGAAAAAGTTCACTTGGTACTTATATCCCCAAGCAACTCTTCACTACTAAACAATGAGATGAAAACTTGAATGTTGAATAAATAATGTTGCACTTTTCTTCTGCAGATTGACCTCCAGCGTTCAAAGAATTGTGAAATTATGCTGCGGAACATTAAGATGCCATTGCCTGATTTGATGGTAACTAACTTCATGTTTAATTGAAGATGTTGTCTCAACATAGAAACTTTGTGAGAGTTATCAGGAGTTCTTGACAAGTAGAAGAATGTTGGCATTGTTGATGGTCTCGCTGAAAGAACAGAATAACTTACAAGTCATTTGACAAATCTGGTTAGGGGTGTATTGCCACATCTTAAAACGTATAGCCATAAATTTTACTGGAGATAAAGTCTTACTGTCTTCAATGGTGTTTGACAATTTAAGATGTAATGGTTATGCTGATCAGAATTTTTTTTCCAGGCTTCAGTGCTTACCCTTGATGATTCCATCGTTGATGGTGATCAAGTAGATTATCTGATAAAGTTCTGCCCAACTAAGGAAGAAATGGAACTGCTCAAAGTACAGCTCTACTGACTGTATTTCTGTTGGAAATGTCATTAGGCACTCATTATTCATGTTGTCGGAATTTCTTTCCATCGGTTCTCTATAGTGACTGAGCTTTCCTCCCACCTTTTCAGGGTTATACAGGCAGCAAAGATAATCTAGGAAAATGTGAGCAGGTCAGTGTTTTGCTGTGCTATTTTATTTTATTTCCTTTAGTGATGAATTCTGTCTGCTAAGCATTTAAAAACCGAACCGAATAGTTCACTTCAGGGGAGATCTGCATGATCTTAGTGGGAGGTAGGTCATAGAACCTAGCTGTTTCACATTTAGGTGATATGCCAGGTTGCACTATGCATTGTGAAAAATTAAGATGCATATCTCCTGCTGGCTGTTTCTTGGGAAATTGCATGCTGAAACAGTCATTTCCGCAATATCTTTGCTGTTGCCAAATATAGCTAATGTACTAACAGGCCTAGTTTCAACATTATTATCCCCGGCCTCTGCATCGTAGATGCATAAAGCCTCAGTTACTGCACCATTTATTACAACTCACCAACAGGTAGCCTAATCAAAATGTGAGATAGACCACAGATAACACCATCACAGGCCTAACAAAGAAGTGTGACATGTCACACATAACCATATCCTCAGTAGAGACCAAGAAGCCTATCACTGACAGGCCATCCAAACAGGGACATAAACTCCCTGGTAAATCACTCAGGCTTCTTTGCGCCAAATTCCACCAGGTCTTTGTGCCGCACCTTCTGTAACTACCCCCAGGACCGCAGCTGGCTGGTACATGGGAGAAACACCTGCATACTAGATTGACCTTTTTTTGTCAAACACAACACCATTTCTACATAGCCAAATGGACCAAAAAACCACTGCAGCCCCGACCCAAAAACATTTGAAATACTGAGGGGTGGTTTAATATTGAATGCTAAATTGACAGCACATCATGCTATGCGTGCTAATCCACAATCAAAACATAGATGTTGGTTGGTTTCCTGCTGAAAGCAAAAAGTGCATCGCGTGTCCCCTGCCATTCCGTTTAATCAAATTGCCTTTTGCGAGGATAATTCCCTGGCATAGAAATGAGAGGAACACCTTGATTTTAAGTGGTAATCTGAGTCGTCATAACCGTTCTTCGACCTGAAACATACACACATATCTGTTGAGCCGAATACATGGAGTGCACCGAAAAAATTCCAGTGGTATGCAAATCCCACCTAATGAGTCCCTGTTCTTGAGATAGTTGCACCTCTGCCACCTTCAGGACAAGGGCATTCTGATCAACCAAAATGCTGACCAATGAGCGCCCGACTGAAGTCCATGAGTGGGTTTGCCACCCCAAGAACAGAGGCAACTGTGGCATCCTTATGCCACACAATGTTGAATAACTGGGGGGTACGCAGTAGAAAAGGAAGTGTCCCCTAGCCATTTATCTTCTCATATCCTCACTGATTATGAGCCAAATTGAAGAAAGGCTTCTTTAAACCTCATGAGACCCTTCTGGAAGTGGGAGTCCATTGGTTTGGCTTACCAATGAAAATATTTTCCCCCCAATCATTATTAACTCCAAAAGTGGATGCCAAACCCCGTCCTCTGCTATTTTTTAGTATCTAAATCTTGAATACTGAGACCACTTTGGTCCTTCTGGGTACATAAAATTCCTCACCTCACTAATTGGTATTTTCTCCTGTGCTGATCCAATTGCCAGAAAAGGTGAGACTGATAAAAGTCAAGTCTCTTCCTGACCCCTTTCAGGATCTCTAATAAGGACATCATAAAGACCGGTAGACTACACAGCACGGATTTAATAAGGACTAGGTGGCTGCCATAGGATAAGTTTTTAGACTGCCAACCACTAAGGCACTTTTCAGGACGGTCTGCGGTAACTTTCCAATCTTGGTTACGAAATTTGTGATGAATGGATGGGAATGCCAAGGTACTTAAAGGGAATGAGCCCAAACCACAGCCAAAAAGCTGCGCGTAAGCTCGTTCTCCTTAGCCTTCCTGAACAGTAAAAGGTTCGCTCTTATGGAAATTTATCTTCAAACCGATAATTGTTCAAACACACTCAAAATTAGCTTCATATTGACAGCTTTGTCCAAATCATGGTCCATATAAGGGATCATGTCGTCACCATACTTACAAAATAGATGGTCCATCATCAACTAATTGTGGAATGAGACATTGTTCGTTTTGAAAACACTAAAGCAATAACTTCATTGTTGACTTTCTTCTGTGTTTCCAGTTCTTCTTGGAAATGATGAAAGTGCCAAGGGTGGAGTCAAAACTGAGAATCTTATCCTTTAAGATAAAGTTTCTTACACAGGTCAGAATAACATCACATCCTTATAAATTCCTTATCTCTATGGACTATCCTGACTGCTCTATTTAAGCCATTGCTGAATCCATATATATGTTGTTTCAGGTTGCAGACGTGAAAAATAACTTGAATACCATTAATGATGTTGCTGAAGAGGTACATAGCAGTCAGTTTATCTGGAGTCTTTGACTCTTCTTCTTTGAGATGTTGTGTATACATTGTTCATGCATGATGTTGCTTGGCCAGGTTAGGAACTCTGACAAGCTTAAGCGAGTGATGCAAACAATTCTTTCCTTGGGGAATGCATTAAACCAAGGAACTGCAAGGGGTGAGTCAGCAAACCCAGTGTAAGATTGTTGTATTTACCACATGATTTTCCAAATGAACGACCTAAGATGGATAAATGTAGTGCACATGTTTTTTTATGTCGATCAATGTCTTATTTGAATTTTATTATACATAGCGCGCCAGAAGAAAATGTCATTTAAAATAATTTTGGATCATTTACTGGTGGAAATATAGCTAGGGGTTAAGAACTGGAACAATATTGCACTGCACAACTTCAACTATGACATACTGATTTCCAAATAAGATAGCCAACTTTACTATAGCTAGTGTATGTTGCTCTGCCATCTTATCTAAACTCAACTCGTTTGGGGAAAAGAAGCCAGAAAATCCGGAATATCATGCGACAGAAATCAGTTCAACTGAAATTTTTGTTACTATTTGGGACAAGACTTTAAGTTGTATTCAGACGTTAACTGGATAGTCAACAATAGTGTAAAGCCAAAAAGGCACAATCTTGAGAATTTGTTTATAAGGAACCTCTTAAAATCAATAGTGAACTGTTGATCCATGATCCTGTTTTTCAGTTTTTTCTTCTTCTAACAAGTGTGCCTTTTCAGGTTCAGCCATTGGATTTAGATTAGATAGTCTTCTTAAGCTCATTGATATACGGGCACGAAACAATAAGATGACTCTCATGCATTATTTGTGCAAGGTATGGTACTTAATTTCAGCTATTTTCTCCTTGATCATGTTCTCTTATCATAAGATTCAAAGTTTTGGATATCGTCTCTTCTTTTTTATTTGCTCTTTCTGTTTGGGAGGCGAATTGCTGCATAATACTACAAATTTCGCACACATGCATGCCTGTATTCCCAAGATTTGGGCCCTTATAGATCCGGTCTACCAGTGTTGTGCTTACTGCTTAGTGATGTCATTCCAATCACATTATGAGTTATTGATCATTTTTTAAGGAAAAGAAAGGGTAGCTACTATTAAAGTCCTCTTCCTCAGAAGCAGCATTTTGATCAACTGCATCCATTAGTGGGATGATCAGTTCTTTATTTGCAATGACTGTGTGCTCTGGTTGATCAGTGTTCAGGGACCTTCTGTTGTTTCTTCTACAGCAGTGACAAAGACTGCTGTTTGTAGTTTCTCAAAAGAAAAAGACTGTTGTTTCTCCTACAGCAATGACAATCTGTTGATCAACTGCACTGATTAGTGGGCTGGACAGTTCTGCCCCTATAAGGTGTTCCACCTATTGTGGGCCCCTTCCAATAAAAGACAGACATCAATCCATGCTGATGGCGTGGGGTGGTGTTTTTCTTTTCTTTCGGTTGTAATCGTGGTCTTTCTTGGGCTTTTGCTTCTTCGATGAAAAAAAAGAAGTATAGTTGTTTCTTCAAAAGAAAGTGTGGACAGATTGCCTTGCTTTCAGTATGTCCATGTGAAGTTCTTATCATGAAACTGATACCATTGTGCTAGCCTCTGAGAATGTGCACTTTATCAATGAACTTTCATCGAGATTTGTTGCTTCCACAGGTTCTTGCAGGCAAGCTTCCTGAAGTTCTTGATTTTGTTAAGGATCTTGCGCATTTAGAACCCGCCACAAAGGTAGCTCATATCTTAATGCTAGATCCATTCTAGTAATTTATGTCTTCTTTCTCACCACATCATGGACAAACAGATCCAATTGAAAGACTTGGCGGAGGAAATGCAAGCGATAACTAAGGGACTAGAAAAGGTTGAGCAGGAACTGGCAACATCTGAAAAAGATGGTCCAGTGTCTGAGACGTTTTACAAGGTCAGGGTGTCATTCATTTCTGCATAGGCTGGACTTTAGATATATTTGTTCATTGTTCACTAATTGTATAACAACGCGTTTAGGAAAAGCATGGAGACAACCTTACTAACTACGGCACCAACTAGCCATTCAGTTAACTACCATTAGCATATCAATTGCACTACTCAACAAGAGTTTTTGTTTCAGAAACTGAAGGAATTTCTGGCTGATGCCCAAGCTGAAGGGAGGTCATTAGCTTCGCTTTACAGTACAGCGGTATGCCTGGACTAGCAAGCTGTCAATATCTTGCTGCACACATCATGCTGTGTTCCATGCTAAATTTTATTTATTTTGCTTTTAGGGCAAAAGCGCGGATTCTCTAGCACATTATTTTGGTGAAGATCCTGTGCGGTGTCCATTTGAGCAAGGTATTTTCTTCTGAGCTGAACAGCTTGTTTATCCTGCAAATATACAAAAGCATGTCTTAATGGGTCCGAACAAAAAGGAAGATGAGAACTGTTCATTTTACAAGACATGTGAGAAAAAGTTCCATGGGGCATGGGCTTCAAAAGTTATTCCCATTGCACTCATCATGTTTCAACTAAGACATACTTTATTCCCAAAAAATTTATTACTTGTTGAATTATCGTCATGGTTTTAGTTCAAAAACCACGACAATAATTATGGACCGGAGGGAGTATTAATCGCCCTTCCCTGGTTGTGTCAATCTCACCAACTCATTTACACTTGTAAAAGTCTGGTTTGACAGAAAATCATCATGAGTTCCTGCAGTCCTCAGTCTGGTCGAGCCTTAAGAACCACCTTTGGCTGAGACTGTAATAATTGCATCAACCAAATCAATGGACCAACACTGGTCGACATTAAATGTCCCTAACAGCTTATGCTATTTCCCCCTTTCATGGAAAAAAAGATAAATACTGTAGAAACGAATCTTCACCAACACAATACTGGTCGAATTATTCACAGCAGCATGGTTTCCCCCTTTTTTTTGTGGACAGTTGTCTCCACTCTGCTAAGCTTCGTGAAAACTTTCGAGCGGGCGCATGCCGAGAACCTCAGGCAGGCGGAGGCGGAGAAGAAGAAAGCCCAGATGGAAGCCGAGAGAGAGAAGGCGAAGGCAGCTGCCGCTCACAAGAAGGCGGGGTCGCCGGAGCCAGGGGTTTCCGACCGATGACTGACCCGTCGTCGAAACTTAGACAGGACCGATTTCCACTAATTTCTTACCGTGTGAAAGTGGAGGCCAGGAAGACAAAGCTCCGTGTAAAAAGAAAGTCACAGGCAGTAGTGCATACCAATGTGGCAAATGTGATTGATAGGTAGACTTGATATAGCGACGCGTTTAGCACGTAGCCGTATAGTGCACTGCTGCTCACTGTCCATAGGGAAGTAAAGCTCATACAGTTTTGTACCGCTGCTCACTGTCCATAGGGACAGAAGTTGGTACATACATATGTTGTATATTCTGGGGGTTTTTCCCCTGGCGACAAACAAATTTTGTAAATGGTTCCTTTCATACGTTTACAACTATGTGTTAGGTTGATCTCCTCCCGATCGAGCCCGACTCGCGCCCTGATCGGGGGCGCCCAACCAAATCATGGTTGGTGGGCCCCTGTGACCCGCGCTATATAAAAAGAGGTGGGGAGCTGAGGCACATTTCACGAAGTTAATCGCTGCCGCAAGCCCCACCGATGTTCCCTACAGATCTAGGGTTAGCGCGGTGCTCACGGGAAGCTCCACTACCGCCGCCATCCACTCACTGCCATCACCGGCCACCGTCACCATGGCCGGCACCGGGAGTTCCTCATCTGGACCAGGAGAAGGTAGTTTCACCGGAATCACTAGCCTACATCAATCCAGAGGATCTAACAATGGTATCAGAGCCATGCTAGGCTAAGTTTTTTCGGTACAAAGAATTACAGAGGAAAAAAGAGATCCCTCGCTCCCCCCTCCCAAGAACCCTAGACAGGGCAAAGTAAATCACCGGAGAAGGGCCTCGGACCTCACCGGAAAAGTTGCGCCGCCATTATGGGCGCGCCGTTCCTCTCGATTCAGACGCGCATCGGCAAGCCGAGGCGTCCGGAAGAAGAACCACCGGAGCTAGCAATTGCTCGCGGAAAAGAAAGGAAAAAGACGCAGAAAAAAGAAGAAGGGGGTTAGCACCGCGGCCAAATCCCTCGGCGGCGGCGCGCTCACTGCAAGGGAGGACGCGCGACCGACGAGGAGGATAGCCACGGCGCGATCTGGCCGCGCTCTTCCTCTCGCTGAAGAGAAAAAGGGGTAGCCTCTCTGTCTTCCTCTCTCTCGTGGAAACGGAGTGGGGAGGGGGAAGGGGCTGCTGGCTCGCGGAGCCGGAACCAAGCGAGCGGGCGAGAGAGGAGCGGGCGCGAAGGGGATCAGAGGGCTTCGTCGCGTCTCTCTCTCGCTCTCTCTGTCACAGGAAGGAGGAAAGTAGAGGGGAAGGGAAAAGGTAGCCGCGGCGCGGTGCGGTGGCCTGATGCCGTCGCCGGCGGCCGGTGTGGCCGGAGGGCGCAGAGACGCGCGAGCCGCGAGCGGCGCGGGGGAGGGAAGGATTGACCGAGGCTGCGCTCGGCTCTCCCTCGCTCACCGTTTTGTTCGGGAGAAAAGCATGGATGGCCGTCCGATCTCAATGAACGACCACGATGAAAACCCTAATTCCGAACTGGGCCAATGGGCCGAAAGTGGACAAGGCCGGCTGCAGCCGCTGGCGGGCGCTGGGCCGGGCCGTTTTCTGCCAGGCGCGACGCACGCGCAGAGTGCGCGTGAGCAGGCCACAGGCCAGCTGCAATTTTTTTATATAGTTTTCTGTCCAGTTTTATGGGCAGATTCTAAATAGTTTTTCTATGCAATTTTTCCAACGAAAAATGTGTTTAGAAAATAGAAAAGATATAAAAAAAAAGAGTAGAAAAGTATCTGGAAATAGAAAAGTAAAATTTCCAGAAAAAGAAAAGTTCATGAATTTTATAAAGGACATAATAAAGTTCATGAATTTTGTTTTAGTAACATAAAAGTTTCTATAAAATGTAAAAGGTTCATGAATTTTTATTCATGTTTGTCCGCTACGTAAATAATCAGTGCTCTTTTACAAAGAAAATAAAAGTTTATATAGTATTAGTTTTTAAGAGCATGTTAAAGTGATTATTAAAGTGATGAATATGATTATGTTATTTTTATGACCAACGTTGTTAATAACATGATCATGCTTTATTATTGAAATTAAAGGTGCTCTTTTAAAAAGTGAATAGAACTAAAGTAAAAAATTAAATTATTGCTTCTCTAATGCATTTTTGAACCAAACGGTTAAAATTTCTTAGAGAGTAAAAAAGTAGAGAATTGTTTTTTAATAGAATATTGTAAAGCTTCTGTTGCAAAGTAAAAGTTTTATCATCCAATTAAATTGGAACCAACGGAAAAATTTAATTGGAAGAAATGTTCTTAGTAATTTTTTCCCTACGGGTGAAATAAGATGCAGATAGTTTCTGCTATGACAAAAGAAATATATTTGTTTAAAGTTAAAATATGGTATTGTTATTTTCTGACCAATGTTGATGATAACAGTACTATAATTCTATGAGTCTTATGTTCAAAAGTTCAAATCTCTGATAAATTTTGTATCAAAGTGACCTTTTTTCAGAGAATTTGATAAAGACTGAGAAATGTATATTGCTAGTTTTCCGCTGCAATAAAGTTGATGATGATGATTATTTCTTAGCAAAGTTGTTTAATAGAAATACTATCATCACATTGTTTATGAGTTATATGCATTATTTCCATTTTCGTCCAACGGTGATATGGAATTAATGTTGAAGAATGAGTTTTATTCTAATTCTACCACAACGGTGATTTAGAGTATAAAAAGAAAGTTTTACAAAAGTTTAATGTGCATATTTTTTTAACCAGACCAATGTAGGGTTATTTTTATGCTCATTATTGTTGATTATTGGCTATGTTTTCTCAGACTAAAAGTTTTTCATGCTTTCATTCGTGAAAGCGAATGGCTGGGTACTTGTGATCCGAAAGATGATCAGGGAAGGTCATAACATGAGGAAGTATGTTCTCTCTAAAGAATGACATCAAAAGAAAAAAGATAGATCATTGAGAGTCTTGGTTGATGAATGTCCTTCATGTACTCTCTATGAAGAAGATTTCTCAGTCAACATGATTTGAGATGAAACAAGCAACATGTGTGTTTAATTTGACCAACGTCGGATCAAGCATGTGTGTCAAAGACCATTCAGATTTATTCCTAAATTTGATGATTGAATATGCAATCAAAAGAGCCAATTTTGGCAATGTTCCCTTACAGGGACTTACCCGCATGGCGGAAAAAGATGATTATGATAAAACCTGCATGGCGGGAAAAGTCTGGGAAAATACCTGCGTAACGAGGTAAAGCTGACATAATATTATGTCAAAATTCCGTATGGCGGGAGAAATTCTGGCAAGAGAAAGATATGATAACTCATGTGCTTTAAATGTATCCCACTATGGGAGAAAATAATGGAGTAGCTAAAAGGCGCAACCGTACACTTATGGATACGGTGCGCAACATGATGAGTTATTCCAACTTGCCATTGGGATTATGATGGAGGGGCTTAAAACCGCCATTCACATTCTCAATAGAGTGACAAGCAAGTCGGTGCCCAAAACACCATACGAGCTATGGACAGGAAGGGTGCCCTCCCTACAACACTTCAGGGTGTGGGGCTGCCCTGCTGAGGTTAAAATGTTTAATCCAAACATTGCAAAGTTAGATCCCAAAATAGTGAGTTGCCACTTCATTGGCTATCCAGATAGATCAAAGGGTTTTCGTTTCTACTACCCAGACAGATATACAAAGTTTGTAGAAACGAGACATGCAGTCTTCTTAGAGGACGAAATGATGAGGGGAAGCTTGGTAGCTCGAAAAATTGATCTTGAGGAGAAGAGGGTGCATGCACCTAATCCGATGATTCAAGAGCCATTTTTCTCTCTACCAGTTGCAACTCCACCCATGACAACTATGGGGGTAGACCCAGAACCTGTCTGTCAGGAGCCGACTGAACCCGTTGTTGAGCATGAAAGGGAGGTGCAACAGCAAATTTTAGAAGCAGTGCCAGAAGTTGAGGCACAGAATGTGCCAGAAACTGAGGCCCTTAGAAGGTCTACAAGACCTAGAAAGTCAGCTATTTCTACTGACTTTAAAGTTTATAACACAGAAATGGTTCATATGGAAAAATATCCCACCTCATATGAAGAAGCCATGAGAAGCTCTCATTCATCGAAGTGGATGAAGGCAATGAAAGACGAGATGAAATCGATGAGTTCCAAAGATGTTTGGGACTTAGAGGAAATTCCTAAAGGAGCCAAAACAGTAGGCTGTAAATGGGTCTACAAAATTAAGTATGACTCTAAAGGGAATATAAAAAAGTATAAAGCACGACTCGTGACAAAAAGATTTACACAAAGAGAAGGGATAGACTACAATGAGACATTTTCTCCAGTCTCATGTAAGGATTCCTTCAGAATCATAATGGCATTAGTTGCTCATTTTGATCTAGAGTTACATCAAATGGATGATAAGACGGCATTTTCTAAATGGTGATTTAAAAGAAAAGATCTACATGAAACAACCCAAGGGTTTTATCATGGAAGGCAAGGAAAATATGGGATGCTGTCTGAAGAAATCCATTTATGGATTAAGACAAGCCTCTCGGCAGTGGTATCTAAAGTTTAATCAAACGATTAAAAGTTTAGGATTTAAAGAAAAAAATTGAGGATAACTGCATTTATGCAAAGTTTAAAATGGGAAATATATTTTCCTAATCTTGTATGTGGATGATATCCTGCTCGCTAGCAGTGATGTTAGTCTACTACAAGAAACAAAGAAGTTCTTATCCTCATATTTTGACATAACAGATCTTGGTGAAGCATCATATGTTTTGGGCATAGAAATTCATCGAGATATGAACAATGGAGTCTTAGGACTATCGCACAAGGCATAATTTGAAAAAGGTTCTTAAATAGTATAATATGCATGCGAGCCACACCTGCTCCTATAGTCAAGGGTGATAGTTTTGGGAAATTCCAATGTCCCAAGTATCAGTACGAGATCGATCAAATGAAAGCAGTACCATATGCTTTGGCTGTTGGCAGCTTACAGTATGCACAAGTGTGCACTCGCCCTGACTTAGCTTTTATCACCGGGGTACTCGGTAGATATGAAGAGAATCCAGGCATAGAGCACTGGAAGATGGTAAAGAAAGTATTGCGTTATGCACAAGACACGAAGGACTACATGCTAATATACAAGAGAAGTGATTCCCTAGAGATAAAAGGGTATTCCGACGCAGATTTTGCGAGGGAGAGAGATGGTAGAAAATCCACGTCAGGATACGTCTTCACTCTCGCTGGCGGAGCTATTTTGTGGAAAAGCTCCAAACAGTCGATAGTTGCATCATCCACGATGTATGCAGAATTCATAGCATGCTTCTAAGCCACGGGGCAGGCGATATGGCTAAAGAAATTTGTACCCGACTTGAAAGTGGTAAATTGTATACACAAACCACTAAAGATGTACTACGACAACCAACCCGCAGTATTTTACGCTCACAACAACAAGTCGAGTAATGCTGCCAAAACAATAGAGATAAGGTATTATGTTGTGAAAGATAAAATCCAGAATCAAACTATAAGTCTCGAGCATATAAGGACAAAGGATATGCTTGCGGATCCGCTAACGAAAGGCTTACCACCCAATGTGTTCAAGGAACACTTAGCCAACATGGGTTTAAGGGAAAGCCTTATGATTCCTGGATAGGCCCAAAAGGAACAGAATTTGCTTCTGAACATAACGTATGTTGTAGCTGTATGAATTCTAACGGCAATTAAGTTGTGACGATGAAACATGCTCTATATACCAATATGTGATGAAACAAATAAACTATAAAGTATAAAGTTAAAAGTAAAATTGAGATCAAGGGGGAGAATGTTAGGTTGATCTCCTCCCGATCGAGCCCAATGGCTCGACGGGTCCTTGACTCGCGCCCTGATCGGGGGCGCCCAACCAAACCATGGTTGGTGGGCCCCTGTGACCCGTGCTATATAAAAAGAGGTGGGGAGCTGAGGCACGTTTCACGAGGTTAATCGCTGCCGCAAGCCCCACCGATGTTCCCTACCGATCTAGGGTTAGCGCGGTGCTCACGGGAAGCTCCACTACCGCCGCCATCCACTCACTGCCATCACCGGCCACCGTCACCATGGCCGGCACCGGAAGTTCCTCATCTGGACCAGGAGAAGGTAGGTTTACCGGAATCACTAGCCTACATCGATCCAGAGGATCTAACACTATGTACATTTCCCATGTGTCGCTGTTTGTACGATGTGATGTAACATTGTTAGTACTAAACTAAACAGTCAGAAACCGTCCATATTTACATGATTATTATTACATCCCCTGTGCAACTTTTTTGTTGTTGCGAAAATACTTTTGATCTATTCATCTTCAATCATGGCAGTATAATGAACATCCTAATCTGTGTAAACCACATAGCGACGACTAAAAGCACTGAAGCGGTCAAATCTTCCTAAATCTGTCGGACCGGCCTGGTAATTCTGTTTATCATGCACATTTTCTTCCGTACGAGCATCTAGGACCAGCGGCTCTACTCTCTTCACTGTCGTATTATGCAGTGAAGTTTAAACAACCCCTCTCAGCTCTTTCGTAGCATATCAATCTTTGCAAACTTTGACCAAGGCATAAAGAAAAATATCTACACCCAGAATACCAAATACATACATACAATTAGATACATGATGAAGCATATTTTCATATTGTGTATGTTTGGTACTACCGTGGATACATATAATTTCCCCTCTAAACTTGGTCAAATCTGCAAAGATTTGACTTTCATAAATATGTATATGCGCTGCATCATTGAATGAAGGGATTATAATGCAATCTGTTTTTCTTTTTAAAAATTTGAAAAAAAATGGAGAGAGCGCAAGGCACACGGTACTCTCACTTACGCCAGGTCTAAAAATAATCTACTCCCTCCGTTCGGAATTACTTGTCTCGGAAATGGATGTATCTAGAACTAAAATACATCTAGATACATCCATTTCTACGACAAGTAATTCCGAACGGAGGGAGTACTACCTAGGCGAAAACAAACACTTTCGATCTCGTGGTCCACGGATCGCTCTTTCCCGTAAAACAAAAACAAAAAGAACGGAGCCAATAAAAAGACGCTCATCCATTCCAGACTCCTCGACCTCCACGCTATCCATCCTACCGCTAGTCCGGCGACAAACAACACTGCCCGCCCTCTCAGCACAGCCCGCACGCAAACAACGCGTCTCACCGACTAGTGGCCCCGGACCACCCCCGTCCCCACCAGGCAGCCTCAGGCACACGACTGCGCGGGCAGGCCTCCGCGTGCGCGTAGCGGGCTGCAGGCGCCGTCCAGGTAGAGGATGACGCATGCTACAAGGGGAGCGGGCGCGTCCCGATCGGACGGCTGCGAACGCAACCGCGGCCGATATATACCTCGCCCCGCGCCACACTCCAATGGCGTCCGCCGCATCCACCTCCGCCTCCGCCGCCGTCGCCGTCGCCTCCCGCCTGCTCCTGCGCCGCGCGCCGCACCTGCTGCGCCGCCTCCCCCGCGCGCGCCCCGCGGCCTCGTCGTCTCATCCGTCGTCGTCGTCGTTCGGCGCCGCCGCCGCTCTCCGACGCCCGCTCGGGCACCGCGCCAGGATGGGCCACACCTCCGCCGCGGCGTCAGCTGTCCCCGCGCTCGGGCTCACCAAGGCCAACGCCGTCGAGCTCCCCCAGGTGCGTGCCTGCTGCTTCCCTGTTTTTGTGCGAGCGAGTTGGATCAGGATGCTTGCTTCAGTAGACAGTGGTAGGACTGTGGAAGTAGTCCTTTCAGTTGCCGCGAGTCGATTGATCTAGTCTCGACTTTAGTTAGTGCAAACACTGACGAGCTGCTAGATCGAGATCGAGTTAGTGTGCCCCCATGGAAAATCAATCGGACGCTGACGACGCTTACATCAGTAGTAGGACTAGGAGTATGCCGCGAATTCATTGATCTAGACTTCCTCTTTTTAGTTGATAAACACTGATGAACTGCTAGATCGGGATCAGCTTAGTCTTCTCCCATGGAAAATCTCGTGCCCGTTTAGATTTTAGTATCTGCTCCGGCGATGTAGAGTAACTGCTTTCACTCCCAGTGAGCTCAACTGTGTATCTTCCATGTCCTGTAGGTTGCTTTCACCGGCAAGGACATTGAATTCTCTGACTGGAAGGGCGACATCCTCGCCGTCGCGGTCACGGAGAAGGATCTGTACAAAGGCTCAGACTCCAAATTTGAGAATGCTGTGCTGAAGAAGCTCGACGCCCAGCTCAGTGGTCTCCTGTCTGAGGCCTCAGCCGAGGAGGATTTCACCGGGAAGGCCGGGCAGTCGGTGGTTCTCCGCCTCTCTGGGCAGGGCTTCAAGAGGGTGGCTCTGGTTGGCCTCGGCCAGAGTGCCCCATCCACCGCCGCGGCTTGCCGGGGTATCGGTGAGTCCGTTGCATCGGTTGCCAAGTCTGCTCAGGCTAGCAGCGTTGCTATTGTCCTTGCATCCCCAGCTGGGATCCAGGAAGGGTTCAAGCTCAACGCTGCCGCGGCAATCGCTTCTGGTACTGCAATGCTCTTGTGCATATTTTCTTTTCTTTCATTACGATAGTTATCAAAGGTTTTGACTTGACGCTGGATGGTCTCTATCTATTTGAATTCCAGGAACCGTGCTTGGCTTGCATGAGGACAGCAGATTCAAGGCTGAGTCGAAGAAGGTGCATCTTAAACAAGTAGATCTTATTGGACTGGGTTCTGGTTCAGAGCTGGACCAGAAACTTAAGTATGTGAATGATCTTTCCTCGGGCGTGATTTTCGGGAAAGAGCTTGTCAACGCACCTGCAAATGTCCTTACCCCTGGTCAGTAACTCTTCAGTCAATCACAGACTTCATAGATACCATTACGATGTTTGGTTTATCATTACAATCCTGACATGCTGTCCTTTCAGCTGTACTTGCGGAGGAGGCATCAAAGATTGCTTCTGAATACAGTGATGTATTCACTGCCACAATATTAGATGTAGAGAAATGCCAGGAGCTAAAGATGGGCTCCTACTTGGGAGTTGCTGCAGCTTCTGCAAATCCTCCTCACTTCATCCACTTGTGCTACAAACCCGTTGGCGGCAATGTCAAGAGAAAGCTGGCTATTGTTGGGAAGGGTCTAACTTTTGACAGGTTTGTACAGCTCTGCATATTTTATGGGTTATTACAGTACTGGGTTAATATTTCATCTTCAATATGCCTTCTCATGCTGGTAGAATGCAGTGATATTAATAATTGATGACTGTTATATCTGAACACATGATTCACCAATTTATCTGCAGTGGAGGCTACAACATTAAGACTGGACCAGGCTGCAGTATTGAACTGATGAAGTTTGACATGGGAGGTTCAGCAGCAGTATTTGGTGCAGCAAAAGCTTTGGCCCAAATCAAGCCTCCTGGAGTAGAGGTACTTCAGTTTTCAGTTACTTGCATCAGCAACCTTTTTGTTAATTTTATTCGTATTTGCTAATGATTTCCTTCCTCACAGGTTCACTTTATTGTTGCTGCCTGTGAGAATATGATTAGTGGCACAGGAATGAGACCTGGTGACATTTTGACTGCCTCTAACGGGAAGACAATTGAGGTATGTTTCTTCTGATCATCCTAAAATACAAGAATATGCGTGGTGCGTGGAGCATTGTGTGATGCCTATCCTTGTTTTCATGGTCCAGTTTGCCCACTGGTTTTCATTCAACACTGTATTCATTTGCACATTATTATGTTCCTGTAGGTAAATAACACTGACGCTGAAGGGAGGCTTACGCTTGCTGATGCTTTGGTCTATGCTTGTAATCAAGGTGTTGACAAGGTAATGAATTGCTTCTCCGGGCATCATATTCTGTTCATACAGATTTAGCTGCTTTGATGATTGCTGTAGAAAACTTTAAGCGGAATATCAATCGGACATTGTTGTTGTAGTTGTAATGCTGATATGTTGAAAAAGCTGTACTGCTCATAAAACTCATATCCTTGTTCAACATCGTGGGACACTACTTTATTTGCTTGGTCTACTTAGAGAAGCCTTATTCCGTTTTAGTGTGCCATATAAAGATTCATGCATTGCACAACAGACATAAACAATCAATTATGCTTATCATATCTGTTGGAAGATGATTTTAGACTAGAGAAGTGTTGTTCATTAGTTTGCTTTCAGCTTTTTACCCAGTTGCCTTGCGACTTACTGTAATTATGACATGCAGATTATTGATCTGGCAACACTAACTGGTGCCTGTGTTGTTGCACTTGGGCCTAGCATTGCTGGTAAGCTCAAACTAATATTGTCTTCTCAGCCTACTTCAGTTTTTCTGTGCTTTCCTAGATGGAAATAGTGGAGTATTCCGCAGTCTTGCATACTAATGGACATGTCTCTTCAGGAATCTTCACACCAAGTGATGAACTAGCCCAGGAAGTCACCGCTGCATCTGAGTTATCGGGGGAGAAGTTCTGGAGATTGCCCATGGAGGAAAGCTACTGGGAACAGATGAAGTCTGGTGTGGCCGACATGGTCAACACCGGTGGCCGACAGGGCGGCTCAATCACCGCTGCCCTGTTCCTTAAACAGGTATAGCATCTCTTTGGCATTCTCGGTCCTTTAAAAACAGTCGAGCTCACAAGTAATAAACCAAAGCATCCACATTTGTGAATTGAAAAAGAGAGTTGCCACAGAACTAGGTTCAGTCTTCCTCTGGCAGACCTGACAGAACTCTAATATGCTTGTCTTGCAGTTTGTCGACGAGAAGGTTCAGTGGATGCACATCGACATGGCGGGGCCGGTGTGGAACGACAAGAAGCGTGCCGCCACAGGATTCGGCGTGTCCACCTTGGTGGAGTGGGTCCTCAAGAACTCATCATCATCCTGAATGAACATCCCCCCTGATTTCCATTGGTTCTGATACTATGTCGGAAGGAAGCAACCCGAGTGGTGTTCAACATCATCTGTACCAGGGAAAATGAATGGATTTTATTTGCTTTTGGCTGGCGTATGGACTATGGAATGGAGCGATATAATAAGGAAGGGTTTCATGGAGGAAAATAAAACAGAATGTCGTTGAACACTTCCCTTGAAAGATTAAATGGTGTTTCATCGTTTTCATGTTGTGCCTGTGATTTGGCCCGTGTTGTTGAATTCTGTCATGTCGTGCAATGCGATCCTGGCCTGAGTGTCGCCTCTCTGAATTGCTTGTTCGTATGCTATGCGATTGGTGCTTTTAAGCAGTCACTGCTGAGAAGAACCTGGGTAGATTTGTTGGCCGATGGCAGAAGTTTTCGCCAGAACCAGAGGTTTTGGCACGGTTGTCTCTGGTGTTGGCGTTGTGTTGATCTTGCTGCGTTTACCTCCTCGAGTTGGGAAACCTCTAAGCTCTAACTCGTTCTTGATCAATGGTCGTTGTGCCATAGAAATTGCTCCTCATGTGGTTGCTAGAGTCAGTGTTCGTGTTGCCACAAGAAGGATAGATACTTGCAGACAAATGGGTCTTGCAGGTACACCCTCGATGCTCTTTTGGTCTGATATATACTGTAGAAATTTGAGTTACCTTTTCGCACAGATTTCCTCACCCTTTTTCCTTTGCGCTGGATCTGGATGACAATGCTTTTTTTTTTTTACAAGAGTTTGTATGCATGCAAGTACTTTTTAGTCTCTCCATCGCCCCATCTTTTTTTTTGCAAGAGTTTGTATGCAAGCTCACCATGAACTTACAGTGAAGATTAAGGTATTTCGCATGGTTGCGTATTAGTGACCCTTTAAATACAACAGATGGGCTACTGAAGTGACACTCGCATGTTAATGATGATCAACATTCAACACCATTGTGTCCTTTGTCCGAATCATGAATATGAAGACAACGATTATCTATTCTTCATGTGTTACTCTTAGCAAGCATTCACAACTAGGAAGAATAATTAAGACAAAAGTATAACCATAGCTTTAAGATTCAGGGTCCCTATTCAACCCTCATGCCAGAACTCATAAATTTGGGGTTTGGTATTATGTCACTCCGTCATCCACTCCTAGTATTATTTTTATTTGAAATGACAGTTATCCTATATTCATTAAGAAGAGAAGAGTTGCTCAGTTAATTGAGGAAAACCGAGCGAAAACCAGGTTGCCCAGTTCATTATGGAGAACCAGGCGAAAATCATCACAACCACTGGGCGGCACACATATGAAACCTTACGCACACCACTACAAAGAGGGTCTTGCCGAGACAGCACGCAGGTGTCATCGTCATCACTCCTCCCCTAGACGCATCATTGCCATCCCTAAACCCCGAGCAAACAACTCCAACTTCGCCGTAGACGACCTTCAGCTCAACCCACACTGAAGAGGCCGTGTGGAGATGCATGAAGGTCCGCGCCAAACCTAGCCACCGGTGACCAGACAACACAACTCCGACTCTAAAGGAGAACCATGAAGGAGAACTAGGCACAGCTGGCGTCGCAGAAGATCATTGACCGGACCACCTGCTGTTTGTCATCTTATACCACCGGGGCCCCGCCACCGTAGCTTCGACTTCAGAGCAACAAACCAGCCGAGACGATCCTGCAGACACGTCGGAGAAGAGCCAACTATCACAACCATAGCCACGTCTCTCCTAGTATTATTATAACACAATGCTTTAGGCCAATATAGGTGAAGTGACATGCAGTCGATGTGTCGCACATCACCAGAAAATTACACCACAACATATAATCAAACATCAATCTTTAGAGTATATTCATGTGACCATCAATAACAAATTTTCTCTCCCTTGTCATCAATAATATTATGGAGCTACTCAAAACACATCATAGTGAAGATAATTTGTGGGATATGAATATGATGAACAATCTGAACATATAAATCATTCACCAATAAAAGACAAAGCATCAACAACTAGACATAATAAACACTAGTAAATGATCACGGTAATAGATTTAAAATAATTACTCATAGGTGGTCATGGAGATGGAGATCAGGCTGCTGTCGTAGATGGAGATGGTGATGATGAAGCGGATAAAATTGATCACAATGATTCCTTGGTGTTGAGGATGACGACGACTTTAAATTCCCTCGGCCAGAGGTGACTGATCCAGCGGAATCATCCCCTACGGGCAGTGACAGAGCTTCCTTAGGGCCAACCTGGGCCATGCCCACCCCCCTAACTTCTATAGTTTTGTTATATTATTTGCACATACAGATATGAATGATGGAGTTCTGTCAAATCTTTGAGTGAATGGCCCCTTCTACATGGGTTAGCCCTTCCTATAATTCTTATCAAGCTCCGTCGCTACCTACGGGAGAGAACCTAATATGCGGTGGCGGTCGCCACTGCATATTAAAATCACAAAAAATATATGGTGTGCCCGGAGGATGAAGGGGTGCCTGCCCCGAAGTGGAAGTCCCAAGGTACCCAGGTGGGCCCTAGGTGGTTGCTCCAAGCGCCCAGGGGTGCCTGACTTGTCCGTCTGGCTCCCTTAGGTGCGGCCCTCTTGCTAATACTAGCTCCTTTTTTACCACATTTCATTGTAGTATTTTTTGTTGGATTTTTCAGTCCTTCAAAAAACTCTTTCTCACCGAATCTTCTCCTAGTTCTAGCTTTTGTAGATTCTTTAGCTTCCCCCTTTGCTAATTTTTGGCTGAATATGTATGATAAAAGAGAAAATTATCTTGTAAAATAGTGATGAAAAATGCACACATCATTTGTAATGAGTGAAAAGTCAATATTAACCTGACATTTTTTTTTTGTAATTCAACCCGACAAAGTTGTTGATAACCTATTCTTACCTTCTAAGAGGTAATAACGGATACGAGCAATTAGATTGTACTATCCCCGTTCTAAAATGTATGACATTTTGATAAACGTTTTGGTAGTGATGTTTTAGCTGAACTAGCCTACCAAAACGTCATATATTTTAGAATGGCGGTAGTAGAAAACAAATAGCTCACATTATTTGGGAGTAGCATCTTAAACCTTTTCTCACAAGAAACTCATAACTTTATTCAACCATCTGCATTAGGAGGGACGAGACTTGCCTGCTCCCCTATACATCAATTTTACACATCAATTTTGGAAAGTAGATGCATATACATACTCCTATATGGCAACAATCCGTCGGCCTTATTACCAGCAAGTAATATGCTTGATTACATAGAAACAAATCAACGGGAGTCGTCGTGGTTGGGCATGTAGTAGCGGTTGGTGAACCACACGGTGTCGGCATCAACCTTGACGCCGTCGGCGTTGCGGTACCAAGCGTAGTAGGCGTGCGTGCGGTTCTTGATGTCCAGCACGGCATGCCCAAAGCTAGCCTCCCGGAACGCCGAGTAGCTCGGTTGCGGCTCCGTCATGCTGTCGGCAAGCCCCTCGATGTTGCCGCCGTCGCCGATGGTCATGTACACAGGCGCGCGGCGGTCCCGCACCGGCTTGCACCTCCCGTCTGTGATGTTGTACTTGATGTTGGACACCCGGTGGCTGCGCTCATACGCGTGCACGTGCCCGGCGAAGACGAGGTCGACCCTGGCGTCGACGGCCCACTGCTCGAACTGCACACGCATCGGTTCGCCCTCCATGTAGTGGAAGTTGTAGCTGTTGTACCACGGCGAGTGCGATGCCACGATCAGCCACGGCGTCTCGCTCCGGTTCACGCGCTTCAGCTCCGCCTCCAGCCACTTGTACTGCGGCGTGTACTTGCCGAACGCGGAGTAGGAGGACAGTATGATGATGTGCGCGGACGCGAGCTTCACCGAGTACCAGTAGGGCTCCGGCGAGCCGCTCGACTGGTGCGGCGTCGAGTACCGATGACTGAATGGCTTGAACGGCGCCGTCTCGCCCTTCAACCATGCATGCAAACAATGATCATGTCATCACCGAGTGAAATGTACAGATGATCGATCGAATTGAGTACATGGATTAACTTACGAGCTCCGGTGCATAGTCGACCTCGTGGTTGCCGGTGACCCAGATCCATGGTTGGTAGGCGACGCTGCGCTCGGAGAAGCGGCCCCACGTGTCCCAACGATTGTTGTCGTGGAGGGGGTGTTTGTCGGCGTAGGAGAGGTCGCCCATGAAGAGCACGGCGTCACCCCCCGTGGCCTCGTAGTGGGTCAGTCTGCTGTTGGAGTCAGACGTCTGGCCCAGGTCGCCGATGAGGCCTAGCCGGAAGGGCACGTCCGGGCCGGGCTTGGGAGGGGTGGTGAACCAGAAGGTCCGCACTGTGTGGCCGAAGCCCATGGCGTAGTAGTACTTGGTGCCATGCTGCAAATTAATTAACGGAAGTTTCTATAAAAGACCCCGCAAAGGCCACTTGAATTTATCTAATAGAGTCATCCCACTGACTTATCTCAATATGCAAATATGTAACCTCTTCATACAACTATGAAAGAGATAAAGCACACCTTAAGGGCATGTCCAATGCCTGGGTGCTTGGACTGGCGCTTAAAGAAATTAAGAAAAGATAATCCCTAGCAGCCGCCGTTAGCGTCCTGTCCTCCAAAGCCAGCGACAAGGTAGAGATGCTTATACGGCACATGTTTGAGTCTTGGCGCGAAAGAAAAAAAGGGCTAGCGCCCGGTGGCTGTTTTTGCGCCGACGCTTCACAGTTTCCTGGGATCGAATGGGATTTTGCTCAAACGGCTGGGAATCAGATCCTAGCGCCTGTCCTTAGCGCCTTCATTGTAGATGCCCTAACAAGCAATTATATATGAAAAAAAAAATACCCACCACAACATTCAACGATGCTCTCCGCCAAACAAAAATTATCCAACCATGCATGGGAAAATGTTTTTCATTCAATTATTCTACTTATACTCAATAAACATTATCACAATTATAAATAATTAAATATAATAAGTTATATATAGTCTTGATCCCATTCACAAATACGCAGACGACAATTGTGGCCTTCTGCATCCCAACGGATACGGGAGCGTGAATGGTGTCATGGTCATGCGCTGCTAGGGTGCACCACTGGGAAAATGTTATACACAGAATCTTAGCAGCAGTGCGGTTTAAAAACAGGCGCTACTACTAACTAGCAGTAGCGAGCTTAAAGGAACCGCGCTACTAATAACTAGATAGCAGTAGTGCTCTAGGTGAAACAAGCGCTACTACTATAATTGCCACGGATTTGCCCCCAGGCTAGATATAGTAGTAGTGCCTTTCCCTGGACGCGCTGCTGCTAAGTGTTGCACCTAATTAAGTTTAGTCCCATACTGCTAAGCGAACAAGGTGTTTACCACCTTAAATATGTTGACTATTTAAATTCTACACAAAAAGATCAATGATGACCAACGTATATTTTTGATGCGTGCTTAGACTTAGCAGTAGCGTTTTTCCAGAAAAACTCGCTATAGCTACTTTAGCTATAGCGCGTTTCCTGAAGTGCGCTACTGCTAGTTCGACTTAACCACCCGCCCGCTCAAAATTTCGCTAAGTCCTCTCCTCCCCCCCACTGTTCCCCTAATCCTCTATCGCCGCCGCCCGAGCCCGAGCCTGCCCTCACCGCCGCCGCCCGAGGCCGCCGTCAACCTCACCGCCGCCGCCCGCCGCCGCTCTCGACCTCACCGTCGCCGCCGCCTCCCCCACCCCCTCCGCTCTCGACCTCACCGTCGCCGCCGCCTCCCCCAACCCCGCCGCCGCCTCCCGATCC